TCCCCACCTTCTCCCAGCCCAACAAAGGCTGCTCCATTACTCCCCTTTGGCTACTCCTGAACGTCTTACCCACAGACACAAAAATACAGCTCTCCAAGATCAACCTTCACAGCCCAGAGGAAACTTTAACATTGGATCATACTGGGAGTAGTGAGAGTCGTGGCACATGCCTGTAATCCCAGAGACTTGGGATGCTGAGGCAGGAGGATCACAGGTTCAAGGCCAGCCTCAGCAATTTAGAGAGGCCCTAAGCAACTTAATGAGACCTGTCTCAAAATTTAAAAAGGGGGAAGGGGACTGGGAATGTTGCTTAGTGGTAAAGCACCCCTGGGATCAATCCCCAGTGCCAAAAAGCAAAAACACTGAATCATACAAACACAAAGCAAACCCTTCAGCAGGCTGATCTAAACAGCTGGCTGACCAGAACTGAAAACACCCAGCAGGTATCACAATTTTAGGGAATTTGAAAACTCAGAATTGGATTAATTACAATCCTGGGTTCATGATATGTTCTCATCATTGGGCTTGTATATGATTCCTTGGTAGGTAGTTGGTATTGAATTAGATTATTTTTTAAAACATAACAAGGATCTAAGAACCCACTTCCCAAATCAAAAACAAGGCTCTTCACAATATCCTATACCTAACCACCACCACCATTCCCAGCTCACAGAAACCACCATCTCCATTCCCTGTGTTCATTGTTCTCAGGCTTCCTGTGTAAATTTTACTGTATCTGTATGTATTCTATGTATTCCTGAAATTAATATAGTTTTTAGCTATTTTTTTAAATATATTTTTTAGTTGTAGATGGACACAATAACTTTCTTTTATTTGTTTATTTTTATGTGGTTCCGGGAATCAAACCCAGTGCCTCACGCATGCTAGGCAAGCACTCTACCACTGAGCCACAACCCCTGCCCAGTTTTTAGCTATTTTTAACCTTTAAAAAAAGGGAAATCATGCTATATACATAAAATCCTGGAAGGCCTGATTTTTTTCACTTATTACTAAGTGAGCAATTATTTCACCTACTATTTCTTTTACTCAGTAGTATTTTGCTAAGATGTCCTTAATATTCACTTAAGTGATCTATGCACACACTGCAATTATTAGAAGCACCAGAACAGGAGGGTGGTTTGAATTCCTGTGGTCACCAAGTGGTTCATTCTCTGAAAATCCCCTGCAGCAGAGCAGGTAGTTAGAGGTAGAGACATCACCTGTGCCCAGCTCTGCAGCATCCCGATCCAGAGCCCTCAGCAGGCTGCAATGGAGGAAGGTACACACGGTATTTCTTTGCAAAGCTTTCCCCTCCACCCTCCTGCTCCAACCCCTCTGATCATCTTGGCAGAAGACAGGGAATTCTTATTTGAAACACTGGCTCCTAATTAAATGATTCAAAAACTGAATGAAGTTCCATATGATGCAAGCTGAGGAGACAGAAGGTGTGCCAGAAAGTGAAGGAACTCTCCCGTCTAGGTTTGACAAAGGTGACCCATGAGACCTTAGCAAATGTGATGCAAGCAGAGGTTGGGCAGGTGCTTGTGAGGCAGGAATTAGCTTCCCTTGCTAGGGAGACCACCACATGAAGAAGCAGAGGCTACCCTCCTAAGGAGCAAGGCCTGGCCAGATGCTGCAGCCTTCTCTGCTAAGACACGGGACATGTGGGTGAGGCCACCCTCGGCCACCCAGAACTTGCTGAGCAGACCTAGAGCAGAAAAACCACATGACCAGCCCCCAAAAACATGAGAACTAAATCATGGTCATGTCCCTCTGTTAGTCTCTATCTTAGTGACCTCCCAAGACGCACTCTCCAAGGGCCTTGGCTTGCTCTGCCAGTTCTTCTACCCCAGCCTCACCTCAGGCCTGGAGCCCTCATGAGGAATTCAGATCCATGGCTAAGAACATAGCATAACTTATTATTATTTTTTTTTTTTTGGTACTGGGGATTAACCGCAGAAGCTTTACCACTGAGCTACATCCTCAGCCCTTTTTTATTTTTTATTTTGAGACAGGATCTCTTTAAGTTGCTTAGGGCCTAGCTGAGCCTGGCCACAAATTTGCAATCCTCCTGCCTTGGCCTCCCAAGTCCTGGGATTACAAGAATGTGCCACTACACCGGGATACAGGACAACAACTCTTGATGGTTTAAAAAGCACTGTCAAATCTATGACCTCCACCAGCTCCACCATGACTCTGAGAGCTAAGCATAATTCTCTCTGCTTCTCAAAGGAAATAACCAAGGTTCAGAGAGGTTGACAGACATACTAAAGTTACACAGCCAATCAGTGAGTCTTTGGATTCCAAACTCCATGTTCTTTCCTCATTATCTCACGTGGATTAGTTCATATATTGCCTTCCCATTACTCTCCACTGGCAGGAGTCTCCACAGATAATAATTTTTTTCTAGATTTCTGAATGTCACCTGCTTTGGATTCCTCACCTTGGCCTTGCCTGCTATTGGGAAACCTGCTGTTAGATCCATGTCAGTCCTCCCAGATGCCAGCCACCTGCCAGGGATTCCACCTGCTGTCTACAGCCAACTCACTGGATTTATGATCTTCCTGCCAGACTTGACTTTCTTTCAGAACCCTCAGCTTTCTGGGTCTGTCCCCTGGGTTTCAGACGTTAAGGTTCAAATATCCACATATTCAGCAAGTCAAATGCCAGGGGTCCACCTTAGAGAAACTCACACATGTGCAGAAACAGATGGACAGGAGGTTGTTACCGCTGTGCTGTCCTTATTAGAGAAAAATAAGTAACAATGTAGCTACTTCTTGGCAGGGGAACCAATAAATAAACTGGGCTCTATTAATAAATTAGGATAACACCTGACAGTGAAAATTAATCTATCTATAATTATGGCAATAACTATATGACTGTATGAATGAGAAATCTCAAAAACAAGCAGCTTATATTGTTATCCCATTTATATAAAGTTTAAACATGCAAATAACAAGGGTATATTGTTTGTGGCTAAACACAAATGTAGGCAAGAATAGCAAACAGTCCGAAATGACATCGTCAATCTCTAGCTAGTGTTTACCCTTAGGGAAGGGAAGCAATGGAAACAAGAGAAAAGGAGGTGTTGACAGTATCATACTTTTTATTTCTTAAAAAAAAAAAAAACAACCAAGGGGGGGGGCAAAAAACCGGAAACCCAAGGAACCCCCAAGGTGAAGAAAAAAGAACCCAAAGTTGAAGCCAACCCTGACAAATTAAAAAAAACCCAATAAAAAAAAAAAAAAAGGCCGGGAAAAAAACCCAAGAAAAAAGGCCCCCGGGGTCAAACCCCAAAAAAAAAAAAAAAAAAGGGAAAAAAAAAAAAAAAAAAAAAAAACCCAAAACCCCCAAGGCCCAAAATAACCCCCTGGAAAAGGGGGCCCTAAAAGTTGCCAAAATCCTTTCAAGGCCCAATGAAAAAAATCAAGGAACAACCAACGGGCAACAAACAACCATCCAAGCCCCGAAGAACCAACAAGGAAACAAAAAAAAAACCCCGCCCCGGGGAACCTAAAATCCTAAAGGTTGAAAAGGGCAAAAATCCTTGCCTTTAATTTGGAAAAAGGCAAAAAAATCCCGGGGCAACGAAAGAAAAACAACCCGTCCTCCTCCTGCCTCCAACAAGAACACCAGTCTGCCGGCTCCTCACCACCTCCTAACAACAACCGGCGACCACCACAAAAAACAATATGTCCAGGCTGTGTCCCAGGGACACAGCGTCCCATGCAGCAGCTCACTCCCTCCAGCAGGACCTGGTCTTCTTCCACACCCACACAGAGGCCAGCCACAGCCAGCCTGTGACAGAGGCCCTTCCTCTGCCCTGTAGAAAACCCTCCACCTAGCTGTACTGCCTTCTCCCCTCATCACTGTCTTCGCTGACTTCCTGTCACCCCTGCCACCATTCACTGAAGGGGACTGCCTCAGTCTTCCCACACTATGGGAAGAAATCATGGAGAAATCTAGGTAGGAAGCCTGATTTCTTACAACACCTACCTTCGCCTCTAAGCTGGCCACAGGCATCCTCTGAACCTCACCTCTGCCTGGGACAGGAAGTATCTCTCCTGCCGCCCATGCCTGCTCCCTCAGCTGAAGGCTCGCTGGTCCTCCTCCCTGTGGCAGAGCTGCCACCCCACCCCACCTCCTGGTTTCCATGGAGCTCTGTCACCTCAGCTCCACATGTCTCTCAATATCTCCAACTTGAACTACCACATGGACCCTAGCTGGACTCTGCCACTCCAGATGTGACCTTCCAACTGTCCTCCATATGGCTGTCAAAGGGATGCTCCTACACACCCCTATGCCGCCATCACCCCCCTGCTTAAAGCACACAAAGCCTCCTTGATGCTGTGTTCCTGGCATGGTCTCCGGTGCCCTGCACAACCTGCCACCATCTCCACAGCTCACTTCCTTTGTCTCTGCCTGGGGCTCCAGCAGCACACCAGCACTCAGTCCCCCGCACACTTCCAACTCCCTCTCACCCCTGTGTTTCTGCTCAAGCTCTTCCCGGGGGGCCCAGGATGCCCACCCCTCCTCTCATTCCACACTTGGCCAAGGGGGCCCTTCTTCCAAGAATCCTCTGCAGCCCTTGCCTCCCAGACTCCGTTAGGCACCTATTTTCCATACTCCCTCCCACCCAGAATGCTGTGCATCTGTCTCTAGCATGGCCATTAACAAACTGTATTATAATTTTCCCTTCTAATGACTCTCCCATCTGATACACCTACGCAAACACCCAAAGGCAGAGAAATGGGCAAGGAGAACTGTGGAGATTACAAGCCACAGGCATGCTCACCTCCCCCTCAAATCAGGCCCCCCACAAGATGACAGTCACCAACATTTATCTACACATTCACTGGCCAGGTGTGGGGGCATCTTCTTTACCTGCAGCCTCAGGGTCATCACTGGGATGTGATGTTTTCCACACACCCCTTTGGGGCCTCTTGTGCCACATGTCCCATTCCCAGTGCCCTTATGCCCACCTCCCTGGAGCACTGTACCTTGGCCAGGGATCTGACTATGGGACTTTCCATAATGCCTCGAAGGAAGATCAGGTCCAGCTCCGCAGCCCCCGTGGCATTGGGGAGAGATCCTAGGTTGTCCAAGACTTGCTGCATGGCTGTGGGGAGGAGGCAGGCAGTGAGACACTCAGGTACAGACTGGGCACAAAAGATCCCAACATACCATGATACCTCCTCCCACCTCCACTCCTACAGAAGCCAGCCCTTCCCTTCCTGCTGCATTGGCACCCTAAGCCTTGAATGCCTGAAACAGAGGAACTAGGGGCAGGAGACAGTTCTCTTGGCCTATTCTTTCCACCCTGGGTAAGACCATCCTGGCAGGCAGAAGGTTCCAGGCAACAGAAAGTGGACTCTGAGGTGGGGGAGAGAAAAGGAATAAGGTTCCAGATTCTGCCCTGAAACAGAGAACCACAGGCTCCTCATTCAACCTCTGGATGGGTTGAAACCTCAGGACTCAGTCACCTGCCACGGGCAGGCTCAGGAACAAGAGAGACAGCCTGTCCCTGAGTATAGGCCTAAAGTCAAGCAGACAACCATTCAGGAGGCCAGGCCAATGTGGCATCCAGTCCTGGGGGCACCACTAATTCAGTATGGCATTGCACAAATCACTGACCCTCATTGGCCTCAGTCTTTCCCTTTGGGTCTGATAGACAATGATCTGTAATCACAGAGAAATTAACATGGATAAGTCAAAGCAAAGGCCTAGAATATTGTCAGAAGCTGAGGAAACAGGCACCCTAAGACCTGGGATGACAATATATACCCAAGGGAAGAGGTCAGACCAAGTCATCCTAAGAATGAGCACTCAGCATGGGATGGGCAGGAGAACACCTGAAGCTGGACCACAGCAATGGTCATCAATATCTGAAGTGAGGGCTGCTTTCACCCACTTCTAGAGGTAGTAGCTACAGGCTATAGCAAGTTCCAGGAGAAGGAAAAAAGATGTGGAGTGTGCCCAGCTGGGGGCAGAGATGGGCACAGGGTATCATTACTCTGTCACCCTGCCACCCACGCCTACATCTGCATAGCAGCACCCAAGCCCTGGAGGAGAGGGGTAGATCCCTCAACACTCTTGTCAGTCCTCTCCTCCTTCAGGAAGTACTGGGGGTGGCAGGAGGGTGCGCTGAACCGGGCAAGATGGCTCAGGGACTCCTGGGCTAGCATCCCCTTCTTGCTCCTCTTTTCCATCTTCTCCAGAAACAACTTGGGAGCCTGCTCTCCAGATCCTGTCCAGGCCTGGGCTTGGCATCCGTGAGGGCTCAGAAGCCAGTGATCCACCAACACTAGTCATGCCAGCTAAGGCTGGGGACTGAGTCAGGGGAGGTGGTGTCCCTTGCCTAGGCCAGTTCTCCTGAGGGCCGAGCTCCCAGAACTTTCAGGCTCCCAGGAGCCCGTTCCTAGGGCACCCCCCTTTAGATGCCCCAAAACCCACGAAGGGGAGGATGAGTTAAGGGGCCGGCTTCCCCCCAGGTCTCCCCGCTCCATCTCTCCCTACCTTCCCTCTGGAGTTCCGCTTCCTCAGAGGAGCTCAGGGATATCCCCTCCAAAGAGGCCCCGCTGCCTGGGCTGCCAGCCATGGCGACCCCGCTCTGGGCTCCCAGAGTAGCCTCTCACGCCGCTGCCCCCCCAGCAGCCTTCCCGGCCAGACCCGGGCTGCGCTGGTGAAGGCGGGACTCGAGGAGCGCTGAAGAATCAGCCAATAGCAAGGCTTTGCCGCCCCGACCGGCTAGCTCATTGGCCAAAACCCCGGGCGCTGCCGAGTGGGAAGGGGCGGTGACTGGTGGGAGGAGGGAGGTGGCAAGAGAGAGTCACCCTTCGGCTGGCCTGATCCCCAATATTAAGTATCACTGGAAGTGAGGAGGCGGCAGCTAAGAGAAGGTTTGGGGGTCCACGGGATCAGTATGATGCCCATTGGGACATTGGGACTGGTACAGTGCCAGAGACCCTCGCCTCCCAAACTGTGGGCAGAGGGGTCTTGGCCCCATGCTGTTCCTAAATCCTTCTTTTCTGGAAGTCCTTCTAATACACCCTATGCCTCCTCCTCCCTGAGCCTTCTGACCGCTGCTCTCTGTCCCTTCTCCAGGCCCTATTTCCTATGCCCTTTCTCCAGACCCTATGACCCCTTTAGTCAAAGGAAGCCCCCGGGAAGAACTCGGTCCTCTTCCTGGAGGTAGTGACATGAGGCAGATACCTCAACCCAAAAGCCCCTCATTTGCAGTCGACCATTCCTGCTGTCCGCTCTGGAGAGGGGTCACCGCCGGGGCAGGGAAGCCTCAAGCCCTCCTGAGCCTGCCTCACATGTAGCTTCCCTCCCTCCCCATCTCCCATTAGCTGGGCCTCGGGATGAGGGGTGCTGCCCAGGAGGCCAGTCAGGCATCTTGGAACGAAGGGAAGGAAAAGGTGAATGCATGTTCATGCAGCAGAAATAAGGGTGGACAGAAGGGAGGGACTTGGAAGTTACTGCAGTCCACTGCCCCATTCCTCTAAAGTTCTAGTACCCCTGAGACCACCACCAGGGAGGTGCTGCAGCCACCAGTCAGCCATTCCCTGAGGAGTGGCACCAGGTCCCCTTGCACCCCTGGTTGCCATGGCAGCAGGCAGGATTACACATAGGACAGTAACCCAGGTTGAGAGAAATTTAAAGGGACAGCTCAACCTGAAAGCAGTCCTGGATCCTTGCCTTGATTCAAAGAAAGGAGGGAGTCTGGTGAAGGGGAAAGAAAGCAAGGCTGCAGGTCAGGGGCAAGATCTCTAAACTCTCAGCCTGTATCATTGCCCACACACCTCCCAACTCACCCCAACCCTCAGGAAAAGGGCTCCTCGCCTTAACTCAAAGTAGAGGTGGGGTCTCTCTGCAAGAGGAATACACCGTTCTGTTTCCTCCAAAATGCCAAGGACCATATGGGCCTGCAGGAAAGGGTGGGAGAAGAACCTTGCTAGTTTCACCCTCTGCAGAACACAAGCAGGGATGTCCCAGGGAAGGAAGGGAGAAGGGGAAGGAAGCTTGACCTCTGAGGTGGGGCACAGCTCTCTCTCTGTCAGTTCCATGGGAAATATAATGACCACCAGATGATAAGGTGTAAAATCCAACATTAAATTTTTGAGGTCAGGGGCTAACAGAGCCTGGAGTGGTGGCAGAGGGCTGGTTCTGGGAAGAGAAGCAGTCTGTACTTCTTGTCTTGGATATAAGAAGCCAGAAGCAGCCCATGGCACCACATCCAGGAGATCAGAGACCTCAGAAGTCCTTTGAGAAAGCAGGTCCCACACCCATACCCCTGAGTCCTACACTTTGTCCCCACCATGCTTCCATCAAGTGACCAGAAGCAGGGAAGCTTAGTTGTTGGGCCTGCTCCTCCCTTTATTTCCCTGCTGGGCACTATTAATGGGTTTACTGGGCAGCCCCAGATTGAAAGGCCTTTAATCACAGGCTCAGGGATAAGTTTAATTAACCCCTAAGCTGCTTACAAGTAGGGCTCGGGCAGACTGAAGCAGAGGGAAAGCTCAGGGAGCCAGCAGGCTGGACAGGAGATAGAGGCACTGAGCCCTCCAAGGCTATAGAAACTGAGACATTCCTACAGTCCCTCCACTGCATGGAGAAGAAGCCTTTCCTAGGCGACAAGGGTATCACAGGGTAGGTTCTGGTTGCTACCCAAACTCCCTTCACACTAGGAGTTATTCTAAGCAAAGTGGGAACCCCAAAACATCTTGCAGAGTGAACAGAAGGACACAGGGCAAGGAAGGAGCTACACTGGAGGCATCCAAGCAGGGGGAGATTCAGATAACTCAGAGCAAAACCAGAGCTTGCAGGCAGTTGCCAGGCCCCTTAGACAGCTTCTAGCACAGGGAACATAATCTGGTGGGTCCCTGAATGCACTCAAGGGGATCCACAAGCCCCTGGAGTAAAATGCAAATTTGGGACATGAAAGAACATGTCTATGGAGAGGGCCCATTGCTGTCATCAGATTCTGAGAGATCTAGGACCCATAAAAGTTAAGATCTTGTCCTATCACCTCATCATAGGAAAAACAAGTCACCAAAGAAAGGTGACTGAATCAAGGCACAAGATCAATGTCATAACAAACAATTCAGCAGCAGCAGCAGCAGCAGCAGCAGCAGCAGCAGCATAATTGTGAATGCTGCTCACAGGAACATGTTCTCCTCTGTTTCACATCAATTCTTTGCAAAAGAGGAAAATCAGGCTCCTTGGGGTTCGGCAGTTGGCTCCTGGCCTCTCCCAGTTTGAGCAGCCCACTCCCTTACCCTGAAACCTCCTACAGAACCATGTCCAGACATCCTGACCTGGTATTCTTGCCCCTTCATTTACAGTTTCCTATACCCCTATCTTCTCCACCTTCAGCCCATGCTGGTCTAGAGGTCATGGCACCACTGTGCCATTACAGTCCCTTTATCCCCAAGCCATTTCTAAGCCTTAGTTCCTAGGCCACTTCTTGAGGGCACTTCTCTAACCAGCCTTGCCTCCTGCCATTGCCCTCCAGCAATAATATGAGAATTGTATCTGGAACATGCACTCCTGCCCTCCCCAAAGATGAATTGTACCGTCTCCAGCCCTCCCTTGGGCAGGGGAAGGTTTTATTCCTCCTTTCTTCTATCCTATCACAGAGAGGAGATGCCCAGAATGAATGGGTGAGTGTTTGGGGGAGTAGCTGTGGAAGTGTCTGATTGCTGTTACCACCCCCAAATCTTTGCCTGGCAACCTCTGAACTACTGAAATTAGCTGACAGCCTCACCCACTTCTTACCAGACTCAGAGTTGGTGGCAGCAACTGGCATGGTGAGATCAGCAAGGGCTCTGAAATGTTTCTCCTGGAGGGGGAGAGAGGAGGATGAGAAGGTACAGGGAGTAGGAAAGGGACCCCCTTCAGGAACATCCCCAAAGTAGGGAGAGGACACTGCTCAGAAACTGGGAACTGGTTAACAACAGATATCCCAAGCTCCCTGGGAGGCAAGAAGAGTGGATTACATGCCCATGCATGAGGAAGAGGGGACCGGGAGGATCAGAGAAGTTAATGATTTGCTCAGGGTCACAAAGCTAATAGACAGCAACAATAAAAATCTGGGTTTTATTACTCTTAAAAAATAGTGTTTCTGGTGGTGCACATTGTGTAATCCCAGCAATTCAGGAGACTGAGATAGGAGGACCAAGTTTAAGGCCAGCCTGTGTAACTTGGCTAGACCTCTCTCAAAAAAAAAATTATTTTTAAAGGCTAGGGAGGTAGCTCAGTGATACAGCACCCTTGAGTTCAATACCCAATAACACACACAAACAGCAAAAAAATAGTGTTTCTGCCTACTATCTGTCTTTTTTTTTTTTAAGTGAGAGACATGTAGGTATAGTCCAGAATTTGAGTCAAAAGCAGGGCAGCAAGTGTTCCCAGACTGTATGCTCCATGAGAGTAAGAACCACGTCCATTTTATTTGCCTCTAGTACCCAGGCCTAACATGATGTAGATGTTCCAAACATTTGTGTCTGGCTGACAGGAAGAATATCCTACTCCCCAAGGTCTGTCTGGCTTCCTTTCTCTCTCCTCTCACTTTCTTAGCCCAGAGCTGAGACACGGAGAACAGGGGCTCAGGGCAGAATTAGGCATGGACTCTGCAGCCCCAGTGCCCATCCCAGGGCCTCCCCAAGCTAGGTCAACTCTCTTCCTTCCTTTGCTTTCCTGGGTATATGCTGCTGGATAAAACCCTAATTCCCCAGTTGCCATGACAACAGAAGGCAGTGGCTCACAGCAGGGGTGGGGGAGTGGGGGGAAGCAGCTGGCAGTGCCCACTTTAGGACTGAGTGCCTACTGGGGCCTGGGGGTTGGGGAGCCACAACAACTTTACCTCCTCCCCCCCAAACACACAAAAAAGAGATTCTTCTCAGAGGAACTACTACCTGATTTCAAAATCCCCTCTCTGCTCCATTCCTCTCCCAGGCCTGAGACAGTTACCTGTGCTCAGGTGGCAGAAATTGCACAGGTAAAGGAAATGGATGGTTCCCCCTCCTCCTGAACCTGCTCTTGAGGACATAGGAGAAGCTTTCAGGGAAAGGAAGGAAACCATTTCTCAGGCCAGGAAAAAAGCTCAGGATCCACTGTGCCAGCAGTGCCTCTGGTACCAATGCCCACTGTCCCTATTCCTAGATAGCAAGGGGAGGTCTCTCCTGGTTGGTACTTCTCTCCCTGATAGAGGTACATGCAGGATCAGCGGGGAGAATGTGGAGGTGGGAAGAGGCAGGAAGGATCCTGTATGGAATCTCTAGCCCAGGAGTCTGGCCCAGACTGCTTGGGTTTTCTCCCTGGGGAGTCGGTTCCCACGGCGTCAGCTCTCTCTGCCCCACCCCCACCCAAGCCCGGGAGAGGGCGGGGCGCGGCTGTGCCCACAGGAGAACGGCAGTGCCAGGCAAGACAGCCTGGGTCCGTGCCAAGATCTGCGGCCCAGGCATCGGAGAATCCGCACCTCGGCTTCCAAAAACCTGGGCCCGGAAGCCCTCTCACCCCTGCCTCTGAGCTATTCACATTCCCCCAGAGTGTCCGTAGGCGAGGCAGGCGGGCAGTGAAAGGGGGAGGTTTCCTTCA